TCAACTTTGACGAGGTAGGCCTCAAACCCTTGTTGATACGGCACTCTGACTGGACAGACGAACGTGCTGCTTGGTGGTCTGATGTTCTCGTTCTTTTTCCGACCTAGCACCCAGGGGTGCGGCTCTCAGACTTTTGTCCATTGAATGGCAATTCTGGGTCTCGATGGATTTGTCGCACAAAACCTTCACCCTATGAATACTCGCCTCGACCCCATCTGGGCCCGGCAAAACGCAACATTCTGGGGAGGAAGGAGAGTGGGCCGCGTCTGAGGGCATGCGTCTCATCAGAAGAAGGCGTTGCCAACCCTGTCTGGCCTGAGTGAGGTATGCGTTGCACGACGCAACTTGCAGTCTGTCTCGTCATATCCATAAACGGTGAATCAGCATCACTCGTTCAAAGTACATTTGCGCTACTCGGCGCATTCGCCATTGCAATCGCGAACCTGTCCATTCGCTTGCATCCGGCACGCCCGAGGCATACGGCTAGATGGTTGGTCTTCCGCGCTGCTATCGTCCTCGATGTAGCGTAGCATCGAGGCTTGCTCGGCACAGATAGAGTGCCAGCCTCTTTTACAGTGAGCTCCCTCCCTCCTTCCATCCGTAAGCGGCTATTGAGCACATGCGCAAATTCCTTTATCAGCCACCACGTCCCACCCCGGCTGTGTCGCGACAAGATAAGCTTCTTGCCATGGCCATGACTGGCCATCGTCTCGGCTGGATGCCCGTGCCACGACGACGAACAAAGCCCAACCAAGCCAAACCATGCTGGCACTTCGTCCATAGAGATGCGCCTACGGTGTAGGGGTCTACAAGCTACAGCTGCACACATTGCTCGGCATACCAATCACCTCTCCACCCATATCTCTCTCTGCACACCCTCAACGCCTCTCGGCTGCGACCAATGTCGAAAAGCGCAGGGTCCAATAAAACACGGTCGGTGGAACCTCCATCCCCATCTCCTCGGACTACGAAGGTGACCTAATCGAAGGCCCATTTTTAGTTTGTACAATCACGACCCGACGAGGGACCGCCTCGGGTACGTATCTCAGGCAAATCGGACTCATGTGTCGCCCAATCACGGTGCGAGGAAAGTCATGTACTGTAGGGTTTGCCAGCAACCACAATCAGCGAGACCATCGAGTGCTGCTGAGTAAGAATGCACCAAGTTCTGAACGACACTTGCTCGACCAACTCATCGACTAACGAGATCTCAGTAATCACATTTACTGGTTCCTGCCCGTCAATTGTCAGAAAATGATACGGATATACGGATATAACCATACTATGTATGTATCGTCTGGCTCACTCACCTCAACCCACTCCCCCCTCTTTCCACCGCGAGAGGCGTTACGATGGGGAGAATCAGCAAGCAGTCGCAAGACCGCCTTTGCCACCCTTACTTTCTTCTGCCCAGGGTCCTGGAGCCCGCGGCCAGCCGGCTGCAAACCTCCACCTTCAGCTGTGGGTTGGGTCAAAAAATACCGTCTCTTGTATGGCCCACGTGCTCATCATAGGAGATCTATTGGTCTCATCGTCCCATCGCCCGTAGCTACTCCACAATGCGAATGTGTCGTCGATGCGCATCGCCAGCCATGATTATGGTGTTTTTGACGTTACAGCCACTGCGATGGGTTGCTGCCGATAGGTCAATTTGTCGCTGTCTTCAAGACAAACAAGACGCCAAGCGGTGATTCGAGTATGAGTGCCTCAGTACGTTGACGAGTTTTGGCATAAAGCACAAGCAAAACAAGGGAAAAGTACGGACTGTGTGTGATGCAACATGCGACGTCCCTCTGTTCCCAAAGCCCTTACCTCGGACCATCCACTACACCAATCAACGAAAACAGGATGCTGCTGCCGGACCAGTTGAAGGCTTCAGGAGTGGGCCGAAGCGGCAAGTGCAAGTAAGCCTTCCACTACGCCGTCTTGCGCCCCTCGATGACCTGCAGTGTTGTGGTTCTCAAAGATCTGGACAACACTTTGTCATCGGTTACAAAGATATCTTGGGCCGAGGCTTTGACCCCTGGTGGTCATGCAACATCTCCAGAGCACCCGCACATGCTGCAGATAAAACTCTACAGCGAGGCGGATGCAGTCACCCGTCTAGGAGCCGCATCCCCATCTAGGTAGTCCTAACGACCCTGCAACGGATAGCATGGTAGCCTCTGTGGCGTTCACGCCTTCCGTGCGTGCGTATGAGATGTGGACTAAGCCCCCCCAGTCCCGCTCCTCGGGCATCGCAAGTGCGGGCGCACGATTCTAATCCACATTCAACACCGAGGCCCCGTTGAAAGAGTTATCAACTAGGGCAGAGGACATTTCGCCCCCAATCGAAGCAGAGTGGGAGTGCTAGCGGCCGCTGCTTAAGGAATCTGCTCGTGTGCCCTCCAGGACCTCCTTTTGATATACCGGTGGTGGGTGGGTGTATGCTTCATATCCCGCTATTGGTGCCATCAGAAACTTGACCCGCTGACACGCTTTGGTTTGTGTCCTTTCCCACAAACGCTCCGGTCCCGCGACCCCGCGCGCCCGAGGCCTCTCTTCTTCACATGAACACAAACACTGACGCTCGGTCGACTTCTATGGGGGTTTTGGGGCGCAAACAGAAGCCGGGGATGAAGGGGGGTTGGTCTCGGGGCAGCGTCATGTGGAATGGAGAACTCACCCATCCATGACTAGGTGGAAAGCACACAGAAACAGAAATCGACTACGGGGGAATGACACCGTTTTGTGGTTCAGCCGGCACCTCGGACCGTAGGCCGGTGATGGGCCGCGGTCTAGATCCGTTATCCGTACCGATCGTCTTAATCCAGTGAAGAAACTCACCTCACCCCACCGGGGGGCGGGGCGGTGGGCGACTGACGCTTAACATGGCATTCCGCCGGAAATCCTTATTTCCTCCCACCCTACCCGCTCCTGGAGACTGGGTTTGGTAGTTGTCCTACACTACGTCGGCATGGCATCAGATCGAGGGCTGCCGATCTGATGTGCGGCCGACAGCCCGGGTGGCTTCCCAGCACGGCTAGGGGCACCTGCGTGGTATAACAATTTCTCACCACGCATGTGCACGCCAGACTGCAGAACATTGCCCGAACTGGAAGTGTCCTTTTCTTAGTCTGGGAGGTGGCGCGTCGAGCCCGTACTATGGTCCCCCGTACACTGCGAAACGTATGCCTCTTCAGGATGAGGCGGGTTGGGGGGGGGGGGGCCTAGGTATCTCTCGTCTACCTGTCGAAGAGAGGCCGCAATGGACGACTTTTGAGACAAAAAAAAAATTTCTTTTCTGAAATTGGGAAAAGTACGGAGTACATCAAGGAAAACAGGATCAGAGGAAGCGAGAGAAGGGGGCGAAGAGATTAAATCAGGCCTCACGCCGACATGCTTCCGTGCTTTAGCGAGAGTCCTGACCAACGAGGGAGCGAGAAGGGGGGGGAGAGAGAAAAAAAAATATCTGCGGTCCAGGCTCCGCGGCGTATTTTGCAGCCAATCACGACGACAAGGTGACATTTCGAAGAGAGAACTTGACGATGAGGGGGGCACGTCTCCCAACTTTTTCTTTCATTTTTTCTTCCTCTCCCTCCTTCTTCTTCCCTCCTGTTTTGCCCCTCCCCCCCCCCCCCCCCCCGGCGTGTTTTTTCTTTTCTTTTTTCTTTTCGCGGTCCGACTGTTTTGTGCGCTCTCTACTCCCTTCAGCTATCTGGGTCACCCAGCTCTAGTCGCCGAGACGCAGCGCCAGGATCCGGCGGTCGAGGAGAATGGGGTTGCATTCGGGGGTTGGTGGGATTCAGGTGTGTAGTGTTTGCTCAGGCCGCTGGTCTGACAAAGGGGGGTAGGGAGGGGGATTGTGGTCTCATCGTGTGTTTGCGGCGTTGCACCGGCTGGATGCTTACTTTGAGCGAGAGACGGGCCTTGCTCTTTCATAACTCTCGGGGCTCGCCCAGTGAGGCTGCTTACTTACTAGCGATGGCCTTAGACACTTCAGGTCTGGGCCCTGCTAAGCGGCCTTTAAAGCAACGAATGACTCTATCGTAGTTCATTTCCCTCTTCGTAGGAGATTAGCTTGTGGATACTCGGGAAGGTCTCGGCTTGATGATGGCTAGGAATGTGTGATAATGAAATGATGGAGCGATGAGCGACGTACTGTGTTGGGGAGAATTGCTGGGAACCCCAATTTCCCCGACCAGCACCGTACTTCGATTTCCGCCCATATACGACCCGTTTCCGCTGTGATAATCCAAACGGTCCCTACGGTCTTCGGCCCTCAATGCACGAACATCTTTTCTTTACCACCAACGGTAAGTGCTCAGCCGCGCCCCGTTCGTCACTTGAGTGCAATACTCGAGAGGCAGAATCAACTACCAGAGTACATGTACCGGTCCCTGTTTCTTTGCTGGCGTCCGAAATCGAAAGCGTTGTAGATGCGGAGCGTGCAGGAATGTAGGTCGGGAGACTCAATAGCGGCGTTGACTGGCAATCGCCGTTGGTGCTGTACACCAACGAGATCTTCTCCGGGTTCTCCCCTCGCTGAAGAACTGCTACTTCAAGCTATCCGGAAGAACGGCCATCTGTCCTCAGAATTGCTGCAGTTGAGGTAGATATGCTTGAAGGGGTGTGCTTTAGAACCGACGAAGTCCTGACAGCCAAGTCTGTGGTCCCGCCCTTGGAAGAAACGCGAAGCCTCTTGTTAGAGTGGTTGGCGTTTTCATCGCATTCAGCAGAGCGTTGTTGCGACACCGTCGTCGTCATCCTGTCTTCTGAAATGGAAGGCAGGCAAAAAAAGGTCTGGTAGTTGTCTGCCCGGGTGATAAATCGCGACCGATGTACCACAATGTGAAAATTCTACCCTGGAATCGGACTTGGCTAGGTGTACCCTCATTGCGGACATGCCGGTTGAGCAGAACTTCTCCGAATGGTTTTGTGAGAGGAAGAGTGATTATTAGCCCTTGATCGATTGCCACGAAACATGCCCGGGGCAGAGAAGGGGTGGAAAAGGGAAACTAACCTGCGTCTTGGAAACGCCACAGCATAACGTCTGGGCCTTCCAGGAACAACAACAAAGGCATCTTTGGATGAAATTGGAAGCAAGCCAGCATAACACTTAAACAAGGCTTTAGGGACGCGTATCTGACCAGAGACGGCGCTCAACCAGAGGCAAATCCGCCTGAAGTGTCAAAAACGGCCAAGCAGATATCTCCAGAAGCGGTGACGTCGGAAAAGCCGAGGTATTTCGAGTCTGGGCTCCAGAATACTTCGTAGGAGTAGCCCGCGCCAAACGTGCAAAACGGGCTCCAGATTATGCGTCGTGTCGCGTGGAAGTCGAGACGAAGACTTGTTGGGCTGTGTCGTTGGCCATCTTTTCGGACCAGAAACACCTTATGCACGTATCTTGCACCTCTTGTAGCGTTTGGGGACACCTGGGAATTTGTTGGAATGGGAATTTTGGACGTGATATGGTGCCACTATCTTTACAGCATGGTATGTCCCCATATTCGTTCCAGCCCATTCTGAAGTATCTTTGGGCCACGACACGTCAGTAGGCCGTTCACGCACGGGACGTGAGGACACCTTTAGTTACTCACTTTGATGGAAATATGCCGAGGTTAGCAAGGAGAGAAGCGTCGGGTGAAGTCGTGCTGGTTGAAAACGTAGGCTTGACGGAGAGTTCAGGGTCTTGAGTCCCGGATATACGTAAGTCAGAAGTAAGCGTCTCGACCTGTACTGCTTTTGTCTTCACGAGGAACTTGCTTGTTGTGAATGCCGTGATGTCCCTCCAAATCTCGGCAGGACTCTCCTCTAGTGATGGTCCCCATTCTCGGTGCATTGCCTTCACATCCTCCATGAGGCGCTCCAAACCCTGCAAGAAGATTGTGGTTTGACTCGAACCCGAGACTTTCCCTCCAAGGCTGTATCTTTGACTCGAGCTTTGATATCCAAGAAGGCTAGTTGCGACTCCAAGGGTATACAGTGACTCAATCCATACCATCAGGCCGAGTCCCATCTTTAGATATCGAAGACCGAGTGTGATCATTTCCTCCACGACTTCTGACTTGCGAGCCGTCGAGTCTTCCATCATGAGGGCGTCGATTGCTAGTGACGCCCATCCCGCGGCGGAGACCTGGAGCAGAGGCCACTTTCGTCGTACTTCGATCCGGTCGGCGCTTTTGTGCATATCTCCGGACAGAGGTTTCTGGGGCAGGCTGAAGGCAAGGTAAGAGATGCACCGACCTGCCATGGTGGCTTTGGCCTCGGGCGGCGGAGGAATCAGACCGCTCCGCTGGACGAAATCTAAAGCCGTCAGATGGATGTACTGGTACGTGCCGTGCGCACCCTTTTCTATCAGCCCGCAGCAAGAAAGAACGACTGCGTGATCGAAGCGGGTGGTTGTACCGCCGCCGTCCATGTCCCAGCCCTCAGGACAGATGGCGTCTCTTAGCTCGGGTGATTGGAGCGATGAATGCGCTGCCCAGGTGAGGGCATTCTGGTCAAGGCTCTTGCTGTGGATGTCATGCGATAGAAGTCGCTGCCTGATGCGCCAATACATATCGTCCAATCGGTCCAGGTCTTCCGATGGTGGTCTAACGGCAGAGTCGAGGCGCTGCGCCTTGGTCATGCTCGGCACATTCGAAAAGTCACCATGAGCCTCGCCCAGAGGAACATACCCTCTGCATGGTCAAGTGAACACTGGACAACGTGGTCTTAATCAGCGTGTGCGGGAAAGAGATCTTCTTGGAACGACTGATCGACTTCTGATGCAAGATAGCACCTGATGTCTCGCTCCAGTACGGAGGCCAAAATTCCAATCCGGCTCTCTTTCGGAGGATTCAGCCACCCCATGACAGCGTCGTTGAGATCGACTAGAGGAACAAAATCAGACGTTTCCGCTGCCACGCTGTCGCCGCGAAAGAGTACCCAAACTCACGCCGTAGTTGTTTGTTGAAGGCGTCTTCTATCAGGACCAGCCGGGCAGCTGTCTCTCTCTATCCGTCTTTGCTGGTCGACTGCTCTGACTGTCGAGGCCACTGAGCCCATGTTCGCGTACCCGAGTTCTTCCCGGACGATTCTCTGGTGGAATGTGATCTTTCCTATGATCTGCTCGGACCTGGCGTCGAATGGATGCCAAGCCAAATCGGCAAGTATGGTCGGCGTTCGTTTTATCCCTATGCGAGGACGCCACCAATTAGCACAACCTCTTGTTTACAAATGGAGCTTTTTTCTCTTTTTTTTTCTTTCTTGAGGACCACCTGGAGGTCCGGGCGCATATATCTCGATCGAGAGCCGGAGCGCGGACGAAGCAAAGTGGGAAGCTTTTCGAGGTCGGGGTACACACCCGGACGCTGCAACCTGGGCGGGGCTCGAGACGGGGTCTCTTCCCAACGGAGAGGGCAGAATCCTGCAATTTGTGACTGGTTAATTCGGGGGGACCAAGTGGTTACCGCCCCAGTCTTGGAGCACGAGCCGCTCAGCGCGGAAGCGTAACAGATGCCATTGCCCGGTTACCAGCGGATCGGAACGAGTTCCGAGAAATGCCGGGCCGGACTTCGCCGCCGGCGGGCCGCATACCTCCACCGGCCTCCGCTGACTGACTGTAAAAGGACCGGCAGGGCGCGGACCAATCATCGGCTCTGGCGCATCCGTTATGGGTAATACCGTCCCTTTGAAGAGTAGACGATCGGCGTGCTCCCGTAGAGAGAGAAATCCCCGATACCGATATCAGGGACTGCGTAAACGGTCGACACTTTGCCCCCCCTCCACATACACACACACGCGCATCCATCCATGTGCAGCTTTCTTCAGTCCAGTCTTTGCAGGGTTGCAGACGTTCGTTGAGTGTCGAGTGAAAGAGGTCGGAGGTCGGATGCCGAAAGGGGGGTTGCCAAGCCTCCAAGAGACTTTTGGTCATGCCCCCACCCTCCGCGAATGATATCGACAGCCGAACGAGGCGTGAACGAGCGAAGCCTCGTAACGGACCCCTTGAAAGACCCTTGGGAGAAAAGAGAGAGGAAAAAAAAAGTGGCGATGTGTAGGAACGCCTCGGACAGCGAATCGATGCTCGACGAAACTGGACCCCCCCCCCCCCCCCCCCGGGAACGTAGCTTGACGAGTGAGGAGCGAGGTATCGCCTCGCGAGGCCCGGCCTGAAATTTTCTTCATGCACGGCGGTAGAAATGTGGACTTTCGCGCTCGGGAGCACCTCGGCAGCAGTATCTGATGGGGGTGGTAATGGATGGAGCTAAAGGGTCTGAAAGTGACCCAAAAAAATACACGAAACACGAGAGGGCGGGATTATCGGATTTACGATTTCGGGGACAAAGAGGGGAAAGAGAAAACTATTTCAATTTGGTCTGTATATAGTCATGATATCATTGGTATAATGCCTGATAGCTAACTCTTGAAAAAAAAAATGTAGACAAAAAACAAAATATAGACAACAAATGCTTTTCAAGGTATTTCCCTTCTCACATGGTTTCCTGCCTGGGTAAACCCCTGGCGGGAATCTTTTTCATCTTTGTTCTATTTTTACAGACGGGCGGTCTCCTGGGCCTCGTCGATGATCATCTCGGCGGCCTTCTCGGCGACACCTAGGACGGTCAGCATGGGGTTGATGGTGGGGATGGTGGGGAAGATGCCGGCGTCGACGATGCGGACGCGCTTGAGGCCCTTGACGTTGAGACGCTCGTCGACGACGGCGAGCGGGTCCTTGCGGACGTCGCCCATCTTGGTGGTGCCGACGGGGTGGTAGACGGTGTGAGCGGCGCGGCGGGCGTAGAGGCTGAGCTCCTCGTCGGTCTGGACGGCGGGGCCGGGGGCGACCTCGCGGGCGATCCAGTCCTTGAAGGGGGCCTGCTCGGCGACCTTGCGGGCAGCGCGCATGCCGTAGACGAGGGTGGCTGCGTCGTAGCCCTCTTCGTCGGTGAAGTAGCGGAAGTCGAGGGCGGGCTTGACGCTGGGGTCGGCCGAGGTCAGGTAGAGGCGGCCGCGGGAGCGGGGGCGGGGGATGTTGGGGGTCATGCAGAAGGCGTAGCCGTCCTTGGGCTCGTCGTAGCCGAGGCGGCCGGTGTTTAGGGTAAAGGGGATCTGGTAGCAGTGCATCATGACGTCGGCGATGTCGCCGTCGGGGATACCGTCGGGGTTGAAGAAGGTCTTCTTGGCGGCGGCGTTGGGGGGCTCGCGGCGGAGGAAGATGCCCGCGTCCGAGTCCATGGTGGTCTTGTTGGGGGGCACGGGCTTCTTGAGCTCCCACATGATGATGGACTCGGGGTGGTCCTGGAGGTTCTCTCCGACGCCGGGCAGGTCATGGATGACGGGGATGCCGAGGTTGACGAGCTGCTGCTTGGGGCCGATGCCAGACAGGAGCATGAGGCGCGGGGTGTCGACGGCGCCGGCGCAGAGGACGGTCTCGGCGCGGGCGGTGACGGTGCGCTTGGAGCCGTCCTGGAGGGTGAGGTTGACGCCGGTGACGGTGTCGCCGCGGACGTTGATCTTGGAGACCCAGGCGTTGGTGAGGACGGTCAGGTTGGGGCGCTTCTCCTCGCCGCGCAGAAAGGGGTGGATGTAGGCGACGGAGGCGCTGGACCGGCGGCCGTCGTCGGGGTTGTAGGAGATGGAGAAGAAGCCGACTCCCTGCTTCAGGGCGCCGTTCTGGGTGATGTGCTTGTTGAAGTTGTGGAGGACGGGGATGTCGAGGGCAGAGCTGCACGAGTTGACCCAGTCGAGGCAGAGCTCGTTCTGGTGGCGGGCGTGGACGGGCTGGACGGTGTTGCGCAGCTTGTCCATGATGCGCATGAAGTCGTGGAAGGTCCAGCCCTTGGCGCCCATAGACTGCCAGATCTTCAGGTCGTACTCGAAGGGTCTGAAGGAGATGAGGGTGTTGTGCGACGAGCAGCCACCCAGGACCTTGGCGCGGGAGTGGCGGATGTGAGAGTTGCCTGCGGGTGGTAAGAGTAGAGTGTTAGTTTCGGCGGTCAATCTACCGCCGCCCGGCGACTCGGAACGGGCTAACGGGGCAGGGAGGACGTGGAAAGGAGGGACAAGGAGCTTACCCATGGGCTGTTCGGTGGTGCCGTAGTCGTAGTCGAGCTCGCCTCCGAGGAGGTTCAGCCATTTCCGCAGGTCCAGCACGCGGTCGTCCATGAAGTCGCTGGGACCGGCCTCGATTAGGAGGACGCGCTTCTGGGGCAGGGACTCAGCCAGGCGAGAGGCGACGACGCAACCGGCGGTGCCGCCGCCGACAATGACATAGTCGTAGCGGTCGACATCGGAGGCTGGGAGCTGGGTGGTGGACATTTTGGCGGATCGAGGGGTGAGAGGGTGAGGGTATTCAAGCAAGAGGGGATGCGGGCGCCGGGCCAGCGAAATCGGGATGAGGGGTAGCTTGTCGGTTTATACGAACAAGGGGGGGGGGGGTAAGACAGCTGAAGAACGCGCGGGCGATCTTTGGTGAGATTGGAGGAATCTTGGGATCAAATAGAGTTGGAGGGCTGGCGAGGGCACGGATGGGAGTAGAATAAAAGAGAGAGGGAGAGCTCGAGACGGCCGTCCTGTGATGATTTCAAGTGGATATGCGGCCGCATTATCTATGATCAATGACAACTGGGCCTCCCCAGGAGACCCATCCTTGGAGGGAGGGAGATAGGTAGTAGCTCGACCGTGACATTCTCGAAGTTCAGCCGGCGCGTTTGGGAAGCCTGAAGGGACCTCTTCGCGCCGGTGCAGCCAAGACGCAGGACGGTGGAGACGGACCCCGCGAAAATGTGTGGCGGGTCCATGGGAGGGAAGCGGGTCTTGAAGGCATTGCAACTGACTCGCCGCACTTTCTGACGCGGCACCCACAACCGGGGCCGGGAACAGAGCGGGAGGCGGCGGCGGCTCATTAGGTAGACAATGGGGTTGATGGCAGGTTTCCCCTGTGTTCCTTCTTTTATTGTTCTTATTTTTCTCTTTCCCTTCTGCGTGTTCTTTCTGGCGCAGCGAGGTACGTACACTAAGCCGACTACGCAGTATCCATACATGCATGGTATACCTACACCAGTCCTTCTTGCCCCCATTATCCACCGGTCCTGCAGGCTACAGTTAGTCCCTTCCTTGTCCGTGATGATATCCCTGCGAGACATCAGGACCGGATTTTCAAAGTTCCAGGTTTCCTGACTGGTCTGACGGCGGAGGGTAGGGGGTCCCTGCTGGACTAACGCTTTCTGCACAGCTGGCAGCCAACAATTGTGTCAGCAGCGTCAACCACGATAAACGGTGCTTGGTGTAGTAGGTACGTACACGCCCAAACTTGTGGCTGCCAAGTCTTTCCGCGACATCCACCTGGTGGAAACTGTCCGACGTCGAAATACAATTACGAATAATGGCCAGAGGCTCCAGACACGAGAGTGAGAGAGAAAAAAAATCAAAGTGCCGCAGCTGCTCGATGACGTCTCGACTTTTTTCTATTTTTTTTACTGCCTGGTTGTCCTTGATCTTCCTCATCCAATCTTAGCTGCGTTTTGGTTTTCCCCATCACCTTGTACGGTGCCCCACGAGGAATGCTGGGAGCGCGCGCTCTCCGTTTCTCCCTTGTCAACCGCATCGAACCAACGTAGCACCGTCGTTACCGACCGCGACTCTCAAGATTTTTCTTTTCTTTACTCTCCCTGGTGGTGTGTTGCCCGGCGCGCCAGGGGTGGTCACTCGGTAACCCACGTACCGCGCCATAATAGTCACTCGACTGCCGTTGGTTTCAGGCAAATGCAAAGCACATGCAATAATTGCGGCCGACATTCCCCAAACTGCCGTGTGCGACCCGCGCTAAGCTCTCGGGTCTTATCCCCCCCATGTTGGCAACTTCTGTCCGCCTGACGATGCCGACAACGACAAACGACTCAATTCTCGCGCCGTCGAGACGGTGGCGCAAGTTGACTGGCTGCCGTCTACCACGTTCGGCCTTATCCGGGGCATCCGCCGACTCGTGTGCCCCGGGATGGGTGGGCAGGCGCACCAAGACAACCCCTTGGCCTTAGTCGTCTGTTGGCCGGTTTTCAGCTTCCAGGCTCTTCATCACTGGGCAGGGGGGCTGGGAAAAAATATCACCATCAGCGGATAGTGCACTTTGCAGAATGCGGTGCGGTCAAGGGTCACCAGCAAGGAAAGAAACGGTGCTTGTGTCATGTCAATTGCAGATTCTCCCATCAAGGATGATCCGACGAACTCTCGCTAAACCACGATTGCTCACGGAGAGTAGAGTAGAGTCAGTCGGCAGGCGCAGTCGTGAAAAACGTGTGTACTGCGAGAGGTGTTCATTCGCTGTTGAGCATAGGTCGTTTGTTTTTTTGTTCTATCTTTTCTGACCTGATATCGCTCCCATGCAGATACATCCGCATCTGGCCCTATCTCTCCCGCTAATGTCCGCCGTATCTTTGTGCCGATTGCCCGCGGCTGACTGGGATGCATCGTTCGATTTTTTTTTCTTTCTCTGTCAACGATCAGATCCGGGTCCTGCGTCAAATATTGATCCATGTCACGCCAGCAGCAGCAATGCAGCCAAGACAGTCTCCAGAAAAAAATGAAGATGCAGAACAAAAAACGCCTTCTTGTCGCCATAGGTCTGACCCCAAGGCTGAAACTTCTTCAAGTGGAGGCCATTTTTCTTTCGGGTACCTGGGTACTTCTACACGTACCTTTGCACCGCCGTTGCTTCAAAAAACGCAGCAATTGTTCTTATCCTTCCTGGTATCTCAGGCTGTGGAGTAGGGTTGCATCCGTGTGGATTTTGGGCCAATGACGTACTACTATAGCCCATGACATCACACCGCTGCAGAAACGGACCCACCGGGGTGCGTCCCGACGAGTCTGCGACCTCCCCTCCTCCCCCCCCCCCCCCGCCAGCTGGTCCCAGCTTTTGTCTGCCCGTACCATACCTAGGTACTAAGGTACGTCAACTGCGTAGCCACCCACGTTAGGTCAAGGTAAACTCGAGATAAGGCCGGCCCCCCGTTGTCGTCAAGATCCCGATCTTACTCCGGTCTCTGGACTTTTCGACTTCCTTCCCAGCCTGACTACCTCCGGCCTCCGTGTATTGTTACCCCCCGTCCGAACCCCTCCCCTCCCGTTCGACATTCCATACCCGGCACTCCCCCGTCCAAACTGTCCATCGCACATTCCATTATACCCTCCCTCCTTTGTTGAGCTTATGCTCGTCGGATGAGTACGGATACCTCCTAAGAATTATATCCGCTCCCCCCCACCCCCTTCCCTTCCTTCCAAACACTAGCAAAGGATTCATTATCATAAAAAAATAAAAATAAAAATGGCACCACCGCAGCTGCCGAAGCAGCAGGACCGCCACACCTTCTATGCGGGGAAGCCGCAGCCGGACTCGGAATCACCGGGCACCTTCCAGTCCGTCGATCCCGCCACGGCGCAGCCCATCTGCACCGTCCACACCTCGTCCCCGGCCTCCGTCGACGCCGCCGTCGCCGCCGCCAAGGCCGCCTTCCCGTCGTGGTCCGCCACGCCGCCCGCCGAGCGCGCCCGCGTCCTGCTGCGCGCCGTCGCCCTCCTCCGCGCGCGCAACGACGAGCTCGCCGCCGTCGAGACCCTCGACACCGGCAAGGCCTTCTCCGAGACCCGCTACGTCGACGTCGTCACCGGCGCCGACGTCCTCGAGTACTACGCCAGCCTCGTCGCCTCGGGCGGCCTCAACGGCGAGTCCCTCCGCCTGCGCACCTCCGCCTGGGCCTACACCACCAAGGAGCCCCTCGGCGTCTGCGCCGGCATCGGCGCCTGGAACTACCCCATCCAGATCGCCCTCTGGAAGTCGGGCCCCTGCCTCGCCGCCGGCAACTGCATGGTCTACAAGCCCAGCGAGTTCACCCCGCTGCACGCCGAGCTCCTCGCCGCCGTCTACAAGGAGGCCGGCGTGCCCGACGGCGTCTTCAACGTCGTCTACGGCGCCGGCGACGTCGGCGCCCAGCTGACCGCCCACCCGGACATCGCCAAGGTGAGCTTCACCGGCCAGGTGAGCACCGGCAAGAAGGTCGCCGGCGCCGCCGCCGCCGGCATGAAGTACGTCACCATGGAACTCGGCGGCAAGAGCCCCCTCATCGTCCTGCCCGACTGCGACGTCGGCCAGGCCGTCGACGGCGCCATGCTCGCCAACTTCTACAGCTCCGGCCAGGTCTGCACCAACGGCACCCGCGTCTTCGTCCCCCGCGCCCTCAAGAAGCGCTTCGAGGAGCTCGTCCTCGAGCGCGTCCGCCACGTCCGCGCCGGCGACCTCTTCGACCCGGCCACCAACTTCGGCCCGCTCAACAGCCGCACCCACCTCGAGAAGGTGCAGGCCTACGTCCGCCGCGGCGCCATGGAGGACAAGGCGACGCTGCTCGTCGGCGGCGCCACCCCGCCCAAGGGCCTGCCCGCCGCCTACCAGGCTGGCTTCTGGATCCAGCCGACCGTCTTCACCGACTGCACCGACGACATGGCCATCGTCCGCGACGAGATCTTCGGCCCCGTCATGAGCATCCTCACCTACGACACCCTCGACGAGGCCGTGCGCCGCGCCAACGCCACCGACCTCGGCCTCGCCGCCGGCGTCTTCGGCCGCGACGTCGACCAGTGCCACAGCGTCGTCGCCCGCCTCGAGGCCGGCATCACCTGGATCAACACCTGGGGCGAGTCGCCCGCCGAGATGGCCGTCGGCGGCTGGAAGTCGAGCGGCGTCGGCGTCGAGAACGGCCGCAAGGGTCTCGAGGCCTGGGTGAGGAACAAGAGCACCCTCGTCGAAATGGGCGGGAGCGTGCCCACTGTCTTCTCCAAGTTGTAAAAGAGAAAGAAGAGAGAAAAAAAAAGAACAATTATGCGTGCGGAAAGGGGGGCGGGGATGAAATGTATTACTTGTATGTATCAAATAAAAAGGGGAGAAAAAAGACTTGCTCCAGAGTTTTGATTGGGGAGGAGAAGAGGGGGGGGGGGTCGGCTCGGAAGTTGAAATTCGTAGCGTTTTCTATATCTCGGTTATTGTTTCCTCCACTGCCAAGAATCGTTGACAGCAGCAATACCTCTGCCAGTTGGGGCCCGTCATGCCCGCATCCGTGACGATGTCGGAACTCTCCATTTAGGAACAGTAGGTAGCTAGACGACTCCCGTCGCCAGCCAATCACGGGAATCGGCGCTGCCGTACCCAGTAGTCACGTAGGCAGTTATCAAGAAGCTGAACCCGTAGCCTTTCCAGGAGGCATCCATCCCCCACCCCTCCGCTCACTTTTTAGGCACACATTGTGGTGGAAAAGCCCGCGCTCAACACCAGTAGCCGCACACTTTCAGAAACCATGATTTGCAATGAGGATGCGAGCGCCCACGCGGCCCTCTAACCAGGTGCGAGGGACCGGGAGCTTGCCTCAAGACCCCGATGGATGGACCAGACTCGGGCGTATTTCCGCATGACACGACGGGCGATTCGTGGAATATTTATCAAGACTGGGTTCCCGCAAAGAGTCTCGGACGATCAAATAGTGAATAGCTGCTATCATTAGGGAGTAATGAGGCTTGGATTGCGCGATCAAGGCAGCAGAAAAATCACCCCCAAGAGCTTCTTCGCAAAAGGAGCACACGATTAATGAATGAGCAAATAGATTTGTTGCCAAGGAAAGTCTGCTACTACTAAGTAATTCTAAGTTGAAAAACACGACAGACCACAGCGAAACAAATAAAGATGATATGATAACTCCCAAATGCAATATCCCCCAGTGAAATATCCATTTCTCAGCCTTTCCATCCAGCCGTTCCTTTCAACTCATATCTAATCGTTACAGTCTTCGTATCCCACGAGTCCCAAGTCTCCATAGCGTCTTACACGTTGACTAAACACCAAACTGTTATAACTCACTCATAACAACAAGTAAAAGGAAATCGCAGAATTGTGGTTCTGGTCGCCCTTGTGTCCCGTGTGACTTCCATGTTCTGTCGGCCGCCCCCTCGTCTTGACTGTTTCCGTATCCTCATGTCTTCGTCATCCTCCGTCTCCGTTCCGATAAGAGTACATCGCTCTCCCATGAGCGCCTCCCGATTATATCGTCCCCCAGCCGTTGAATAGGCCAAAACAATCTAATAATAAACACTACTCGTCGTCATGTTTTCATTGTATGATGCACGTTTCTCTCGCGTACGCTCTGCTCATACCTCTCTCAGCCTCTATTTGCTCCAGTCAAAGCCAACGCAAAGCTTGCTCTTCTTGCAAACGGCCTTGGTCAAGGTCTGGATGCTACCACTGCTCAACAACTCGAGGACCTGCATGTTGGACTCAAACTCGCGCGTGATGAAGTTACGGATCTCGATGGCGACGAGCGAGTCGAGAGGATAGTGCGACAAGCTACGGGTGACATCGAGGTCATCCTGCTCCATCATAAGCACAGCGGCAATCTTCTCGACCAGGCCGCGGCAGACGACCTCCATAGCCTCGGCCTCGCTGCGCGACGCCTTGAGAGCCGCGTTGAGTGACACGGCGCCATTGGCGCCAGCCTCGGCCGCGGCGAGCTCCTCGGCCGCCAGACGAAGGGCCTTGAACTTGGCGTCGGGCGTCCAGAATGGCTGGATGGTAGGCGTGATGCGCATACCCGTGATGACGTGGTGATTGCAGACAGACGTCTTGCCAGAGATGGAGGCGCCGATAAGGGCAAGCACCTCGGCCTCGCAAATACTGTCGGAGCCCAGATTCTTCGCGACCTCGGCGGCACGCTCGGCACTGCCATCAGCCAGGTAGCCAGCGTCAGAAACAGCGGTGAGATCAAGGGAGGTGGCGGGAAGTCCCAGGGCGAGACGGTGCTGGACGAAGGCGTTGAGGAAGCAGTTGGCTGCGGCGTAGGCGGCTTGTCCACGGTTACCGACGGCCCCGGCAGCGGAGGAGATGGCGATGAAGAAGTCAAGCTCGGTACGGCGTTCCTGGAGTGCGTGGTGGAAGTTCCAGGCACCCTGGACCTTTGACTCAATGACCGAGGTATAATCGTTGAACTTCATCTGCTCGAAGAGAACGTCCTGTACGATTGTTAGTTGCGGCGAAAGTATGGATAGAGTATGGGGGGAACTTACACGAAGGACCATAGCACCGTGAATGACACCACGAACAGGTGGCAGACCTCTGAGACCGCTGTTAAACAACTGCTCAACACTGGCCTTGTCGGCGACGTTGCAGGAGCGTACGGTGACGTGGGCTCCCTCCTCAGCGGCCTCGTCAATGAGTACCTTGACCTTACCAGTGGCGGAACCGCTGCGAGAGAGGAGAACCAAGTTCCTGGCGCCGTGCTCGATCATCCACCTGGCCATGCTGCGACCGAGACCACCGGTACCGCCGATGAGGAGGTAGGTAGCGTCGGGCTTAAGCAGAGCCTTCGCAGCCTTGGAGGGAGTGGCCATGACGACATCATCGGCATGGGGAACGACAACAAGCTTGCCAGGACCCTGTGTGGTCTGAAGCGTCTTGAAGGCCGTCTCCATGCAGGACACGGGGAAGACAGTGGCGGGGTCAATAGGGCGGAGCTGGTCGTCAGCCAACAGTTTGGAAACATCGGCGACCAGTTTCTCCATGAGCTTGGGCCTCTCGGCGGCGAGCCCAAAGATGTCGACGCTCAAGAACGAAGCGTTGTTGTCAGACTGGCCCATGTCGAGGCGGGAGCAGCGAGAGCCATCCTTCCTGCGAACATCGACGAGGCAGCCAAAGCGGCTGAGACATGCCCAACTCTCCCTCAGAGCATCGGCACCCGGCAGGGTATTGAGGACAACGTCGACACCCTCATCGTGGGTGGCGCGCCTCACAGCAGCCCTCCAAGTGGTGTTGCGGCTGTAGAAGATGTGGTCCTCAGGGACATTGTAGTGCTGCATCAGGAGCTTCTTCTTGGCTGCCGTGCTGACGGTGACGAAGATCTCGGCGCCGATCATCTTGGCGAGACACACAGAGGCCTGGCCAATACCACCGCCGGCAGAGTGGACCAGGATGCGTTGGCCTTCACCGAGGCGCGCCTGCTCGACCAGGGCGTAGTAGGCAGTGCAGTAGGCCAAGGGAAGGGTAGAAGCGTCCTCGAAAGACATCTTGGAGGGCATAGGCATGACGTTAGCGGCAGTGGTGCGCGTGCGCGTGGCATAAGCACCGTGCTTGATGGTGAGGGCGGCGATGCGGTCGCCGGCTCTGTGGGCCTTGACAGCAGAGCCAACTCTGGTTACAATACCAGAGGCCTCAACACCAAGGGCATGCTTGTTGGCCTCGGGGATCTGGCCCTTGGCAAGCATGACATCGCGAAGGTTCATGCCAACGGCCTTGACCTCGAACTCAATCTCGTCGTCACCGAGAGGCTGGGTGGCAGCGACATCGTCAACAAAGTGCACCGTCTCGATGGCACCGGGGGTGGAGAACTCCATCTTGAGGTATCTGTTGTCCTTGCCGAAGGGCTGGAGCTCGACGACGCTAGGGTTGGTCTCCCGGTGAACAATCTCGTTCATCTCCTCATCGTGAACGATGCGGGGAGTGAAGAAGCGGCCGGAACGCTCCATGAACTCGAGCTCGCTAGTGGAGGAGGCATTGGCCCCGAACGCGAGCTTGAAGATCTCGAAGATAACTGCGGAGGAGTCATCCTCGTCGAGCCGGTTGTTGTCGTCGAGGTCTAGTGTTGCGAAGGGCAGAACAGTCTCGGAGCGGACGGTTCTGCTAAGACCGACTATCATGTTGGACTCTGGCGAGGTGGCTTTATCGTAGGCACCACGGACAACCCAGAGACAGCCCTGAACACCGGCAAGCATGTTACGGACCTCGGCGAACTGCTCCTTAGTGGGGTTGGCGAGGAAGGGCTGCTCGATCTCGGTGAGAACGATGGTCAACTTGCCCTCGGTATTGACCTCATGCATGCCGCCCATCTCAGGGAGTCTAGAAGTAGCGCTGGCGAGGGCGATGGCGAGACCGTTTGCCAACGTCTGCTGGGCGTTGGAGTCGCCGTGGATGATTGCGACATCAACGTCGGGCAGAGGAGCATCAACCTTGACTCCAGAAGCGCCGTTGATCTTGGTCTTGACCTTGCCAGAGAGCGACTTCAGGTTACCAATATCCTCCCACTCAAGCTTGTAGCAGAGCTCACGAGCGGGGTTGCTGGCCAGCTCGGTCTCGCCATCAATAATGGGAGAGATGGTAAGGTCATCGATCTCGATGACCAGGTCGTTGTTCTCAGCAGTGGCGAACACAGAGACCTTGGTGGAACGGGGCTCAGCTGGGAAGTCGGCCTTGCAGTAAGCCTTGAGGGTGCTGCCCGGCGTGTGGGTGAGGGCGGTGATGTCACGAGCGATGGACATTCTGCCAATGGAAGAGGGCAAGTAGACGGTGTTGACGTCGACGCGGCCGGCGCCAAGGATGGGCCAGTACATCTGAATGACAGACTCCAAGAAAGTAGGGTGCAGGACAGTGCTGGTCTGGTAGTGGTTGGGCATGTCTCCGGCAATGTCGAAGGAGGAAACATTGCCCATAGCGTACTTGTTGGACGCCTTGCAGTCCTTGATGCCCTGGAAAGAGGGCCCATATCCGACACCGAGCTCATTGAGACGCTCGTAAATGTCCGTCTCAGCAACGGCAACAGCGTCGGGGCCCTCACTGGCCTTCATGGTGGCCTCAGCACCACGAAGAGCCGCCAGCTTCTGCTCCTTACCGTCGACCTCGTTGGCCTCGACGGTATGGAGGGCAATGAGACCAACGCAATGCTCGGTCCAGCCGCTTCCGTGAGTCCAAGAGCAGATGCGGAACTCCTTCCAGGTCTCAGATGCGGTCAGGTTAGTCTCCTGATGAGGGCGCAGGTTAATGGTCAACTCAACATCGGCGTCCTGGAGGGCCAAAGGCTTGATAACAGAGACGTCTCTGAGCTCGAACTTCTCAAACGACATCTCCTTGCGCTGCGCCCACTGGGCGGAGGCCTCCAGAGCCATGGCAATGAAAGCAGAGATGGGGAAGATCGTGACGGACTGGATGGCATGGTGACGCAGCCAGGGAAGGTCGTCCAAATGAATGATGTTTCTCCACGTGGGCTCAAGATCACTGGAGTAGATGGCCTCGAGACCGATCAAGTCGTTCCTGGGCGACTTGCGGTACTTGTGCATCTGAGTCATGCGAGACTCCTGCCAGTACTTGTTTTGGTAGTTCCAGGTGTAGCGGGGAAGATCAGTCAATAGGGACGGCTTCTTTTTCAGGGTGGGGAAATTGACGTTGTCCATGTTGAGAATGGCACCCTTGGTGATGAGGCTGCAGGCCATGTCCATAGCAGACTCAACAGCATCCTTCTTGCGGACGAGAGGAGAGACGTAGGGAATCTTGGTCGCATGCTCTCCAACGTGCTTCAAGATCTGCTTGATGGGACCCTGAAGGGCAGAGTGGGGACCCAGCTCGATGATCATGTTGACACCAGTCTTGTGTTCGCCAACAGGCTCCAGCATGGTCTCAAGGGCCTCGGAGAAGCGGACGGGGCAGGTCAGGTTATTGACCCAGTAGTGAGCCTGGCACTCAAAGCCATCGATCTGATGGCCGTAGAGAGAAGAGTGGAAGCGGACATCCGTCGTCTGGGGATGTGGGAGATTAGAGATGGATTCGCGGTATTCCTTGGCGACCAGGTTCATGTGGTGCGAGTGATATGCTGTCTCGATCTGGAGACGTCTGTTGAACATCTGCTTCTCCTCGAGGTTCTTCTCGAGCTCAACAAGAGCATCGGTATCACCGGAGATTGTCAAACTGGAAGGACTGTTGTAGCAGGCGATCCTGACTTGCTGCTGCTTTAACGCGTCGATCATGGGCTGGACTTCCTCCTTTGAACCTCCAACAGCCATCATGGAACCGCGCAGATCGGGGTTCCTCTTCTTCAAGATGGGGACAAGACGACCACGGTGGTAGGCAATGGCCATGGCAGCCTCGAAGCCGATGATGCCGGCAGCATACGCAGCACCGATCTCACCACTGGAGTGACCGGCAACAGCAACAGGGCGGATACCCCAAGTACGGAGGAGATCAGTCAATGCAAGCTGGACGGCACTGCAGGCCGGCTGGCTGATGTTGGCATCTCCAACTCTTGAGGATTCTTGGTCCTTGCTGAGCTCCTCGACGAGAGACCATTCAGCGCCCAGCTTCTTCAGGCACTCATCGGCTCTGTCGATGGCGGCGGTGTAGATGGGGTATGTGCCGTAAAGCTCACGACCCATGCCCCACCATTGAGCACCCTGGCCGGTGAAGACGAAGCCAATTCTCAGCGGCTCGGTTTCTTTGCCAGGAATGACCTTTCCGCTGTTAAGAGTCTCGATGAGCTCGAAAGAGTCCTGGGCAGGGATGGCAACCCTCCAGGGAAGCATGGAGCGACGCGTACCCAGGGTATATGCGATGTTGTCCATAAGGTCGTTCTGGAAGATCTCAGGCCTCTGCTCAAGGTAGACAACGAGGCTCTTCATGACGGAGCTGACGGAGTTCTTGTCGTTGGCGGACAAGACATAAATCTTCTTGGAACCCTTGACCTTCTTGATTTCAGGGGCAGGAAGAGTCCTGTCCTTCTTGGGCTCAGGGAAGAATGGCGCCTTCTCCAGGACCACGTGGGCATTGGTGCCGCCGAAACCAAAGTTGTTGACGCTAATGTACTTCTTGTTCTTGGGCCAGGGTCTCTGGGTGGCAGGGATCTTCATGTTCCACTCTTTCCACGGGATCTTCTCATTAGGCTTCTTGAAGTCGTGGTTGGGGAGAAGGAAGCCTCTCTCCAGCATCATGGCGGCCTTGATGACCCCAGCAATACCGGAGGCCGCTTCAAGATGGCCAATGTTGGATTTAACGGAGCCGATAAAGAGGGGGTCCTTGGTCGACCTGTTCTGGCCAATAACGTTGTGGATGGCGGTGGCCTCAATCGGGTCACCGACCTTGGTGCCGGTGCCGTGGGCCTCGACATATCCGCAGTCGTTGGGGTCAAGTCCCGCGTTTCTGTAGACCTGCCTCATGAGCTTCTCTGCACGGGTTTGTTAGCATCATAATTATCATAGCTCGGGATAGTATCCTGATAATACATACCCTGTGCTGCGCCACTGGGCATTGTAATTCCGGGTGTCTTGCCATCCTGGTTGATACCAGTGCCTCGGATGACGGCGCGAATGGAGTCGTTGTCCCTGATGGCCTGGTCAAGCGGTTTGAGGATAATCATGCCGCAGCCTTCGCCACGACCGAAACCGGTACCGCGCTGGTCGAACGCGATGGAGCGTCCTGAGTCGGCGAGCAATCTGAAGTTGACTGTATCAGCATGGATCGGTGGCAACGGGAAGAAGCACCCGAGTGCACAGCATGTGCTTACCTGCAAGACGAGAAAGAGATCCAAAACTCGGGGAGCATGTTCAGATGGCAACCACCAACGATGGCGGTGGTGGACTCGCCAGCACGCAAACTCTGGCACGCCAAGTGCAAGGCGACCAAACTGGCCGAGCAGGCAGTATCTGCTGTGAAACTCGGCCCCCTGAGGTCGAAAAAGTGTGAAAGTCTGTTGGACTGCATCGCATGGGCACATCCTGATGGGCCATGTTAGCGGGAGGAGGTATGCGGGGTGCAGGGATGATGCCTCTTACCTGTGGCCTGGTGCATGGGTATCGTATCACTGTCCCTGAACAGATGGCTCTCATACTCGGCGAAACTACCACCAACGAAGACACCGACGTCTTTTCCAACAATCGTGTGTTTGGGGATACCGGCGTTCTCCAGGGCCTCAAACGTACACTCGAGCAGCAGGCGCTGCTGGGGGTCCATGGAAATGGCCTCCTTCTCGGTCAAGCCGAAGAAGGGGGCGTCAAAGGAAGCCAGGTCGACGTCGAGGAAGTTGCCGCCCTGGGCGTGGTAAGCTCCAGTCTTGCCAGGATTGGGGTGGTAGAAGGCCTCGTGGTTGAAGCGCTCCTTGGGCACGGGAGTGAAGCCGGTTCTGGCGCGGGAGCACAGCTCCCAGAATTCGGCAGGGCTGGAGACGCTGCCCGGCAGACGACAAGCCATGCCGACAATGGCGATGGGCATCTGTTTCAAGCCAGCATCGCTGCCACCGACGGGGTTCGTGTAGGCCGTATTCGAGCTGCTGCCGGCGCTGCCGCTTGTGTGGCCGTTGGAGTGACCACTACCGTTGGCGGGTTGTCCGTGGATGTTGAGGCCTACGCCATCTAGGGGCCCCACGGACAAGCTGGTGAAGCCATCGGAAGTGGTATCGGAGTGATCGATCGGGGTCATCATTACGGGACTCGCAGAAGGCGACGTGCCCGAAGAAGAGTAGGAAAGAACACCAGGCGCCATGACGAGGGCGGAAGAGGAGGGTTGCGGAGGCCGCTGTTGTCTGGCGATTCTATTCTACAAGCATTCGCCGAACCAACGAAAGGAAAAAAAAAAAGAAGAAGAAAGTGATAGCGAAGGTTCCGGCGCTCTGGGCGTTCCTCGCAATGATGAAAAAGATAACGTAGAGAAGAAAAGGAACAAGCGAGGAAGATAGGTGGTGAGAGGGCGAAACGAAAGGCGGACTGCGAGTGCTCTAGATATGATGTCGTTTGGGGCTTGGAAGAGGGCAGGCCGGGTTGATATGATGTACGTACCAAGCCTCGTTGAGATGAGTGAGTGTGAAGAATCTTTCTTTTTTTTGGTCGTCAAGGGAATCTCTGTAGGGTTTTTAGCTGAAGACGGGCCATGAGCAAATATCGTCCATGGTGGTGCTCGCTCCGTCGCGGAGTGGTCAACATGGAAGGGACTGGTTGGTGATCAGATCGCCAAGTCGGCCGGAGTCCTTCGCACAGACTAGCCTGTGTGATGAGATTTGCCTGACGGTTGGGTAGATGATAGGTAAATCCCGAACGTGCATGCCAGGTTCATGCCAGGGAGGAGATGGGGCCTCTCCGGAGAGAGTGGGCCAGGGAGCATCCGATGCCGGGCTGCCCATGGTCGACACGGAGCAGCGTTGCAGCGGCAGTCCCTGGCAGTAGCGAATTCCGAATGGCTTCCCCAGACCAAGGGGGGGCCACCGAGTAACGGCAGAACAAGGGTGTACTGTAGGGCTGGTGGCGCCGAGGAAAGAGGCTTGTTCCCTGGAACGAGTATGGTTACTGTCGTTCTTGCCAAAAGCAAGTGTCATGGAGTTATGCATAACTGGCGAGTTAATTGGTAAATCCGATGACGACGAGAATGGAAAGTATGACCAATGCTCGACCAGGGATATGCAGTAAACGAGGCGGCGAGATCCAGGTCCGGTGGTTCCCCCAAACCCAAAGAGCAGATTCAATCGGTCGCCGTGGATTCGGAGACACTGTCTCGCTCCTTTGCTAGGCAGCAGCATTGTCTTTGACTGCGCAGAGTGTGCCTTAGTCTGTTTGCGATTCAACAGCACAGCCAGGCCGGCCTGCAGTCTCAATGCAGATTGCAGAAGCCGGACGTTTGAGTCGGACTAACGAATGGCAGCGCAATGAACACTCGAACTCCGGTACGGGGGCCCGATGGCGTGGTTCGGAGTGGAGAAGATGGTGGTGGGAGGTGCTGTGATTTTCTTGTGTGCACTGCACTGCACTGCACTGCCGGTAGAAAGCCGGGGGGTGGGGCCTTGGACTGAAGCACAGGGCCGCGAAGCGGAACATGGCCACCAAGGAGGTGGAGCAGCAGCAACGCCCATAGCAGCGCGTGGCGACGGCGGCGGCAGCGGCATGGCAACGCAGAGGAAGAGGTCATTGCGGCTGATCCCGACCCGACTTGACTCGACTATCAAATCTACAGGTACGGAGTGTGACTAGCGTTGCTGCTTATGTAAGAGCACGCTTTAGGTGGTATCTCACGCCAAGGAAGCTGCCGACTGCTGGAGGTTGCCGCTACTGCTGCAGGCAGTGGCGATCCAATGATCCATCCATCCAATGATTACGACGCAAGTCCCGAAAAGGGAAGGAAAGACCGGCAGAAGGAGCACCTGCTGCAAGATGCTGGCAGAAAGAAAGGGAGCCCCTGCCCCTCCCCGCCATTTACGGACCAGAATCATCCCCTTCTCAGGAGCCCGTGTAAACAGTGGCAGGGCATCTTCATTGCTGCCCGTAGACGAGATGATGCGGCGTAGTGCAGATTTCCTCTTCATCTCCGGGCATCCATCCATTCGTCCGGCCCTATTTGCTGGGAATCATGGGGCTTCTGCGAGAACTCAACCAGCGTGGCGGTGCCTGCTTACTTCATCCGCTCTCGTCGCGTCTACCCTCTCCGTCTGGTGTTCGGCGCTCGTGTGTTGTTCGGTTTGCAGAGAAGAGGCGCGTCTTGTGTCAAAACCACCGGCATTCATGGTGATGGCGGCGGGCGGAAGTGTCAGGGCGTGCGTTTGTTGCCTGTCTACTTTCGTCCCTATCGCGACCAAACAAACAGACCAAGGCTAATTGAGCAGAGCACCAAGACCGGTCGGCAACCTGAGCAAGCTGTGCTCCAGCGTCGTCAACGTATGTACAGCTGAGTAAGAACCACGGGCACCGTTTAACGTTGTCTGACTCCCAAGACGATCAAGCGAATGGGATCGAGTGGGCGACGGTAGGGCAAAGCAACCAGGGGCCTGGGAGAAGATAAGAAAGCAGGGGTTGAAGGTACAGACCCCAAACATGCAGCCACAATCGCCAGACGCAGGCGTGTTCGAGCCTCTGGATATGGGTATCGACCTATTGATAGACTGGTGACTGACTCCAGACGCAGTTGCGGACGCAGCGGACGCGAATGCACACCTTCGAACGGCACCACATGCAGGTGCTGGTGCAGCAGACCTAAACAGGAATAGTCGGATCTATCGCCCGAAATGTCTTCACCGGGAGGATGAGGTTAAGACAAGGTGATGATTGCCGGGTCGTCGTACCTCACACATATGGAGTTACCCGCATTACCGACCCCGTTCTTGTCCTACACTGTCCCAAACACTTACGAGGGGGAACCGGCATACACGTTATTGACATACGTACGCACCACATCCTTCCATCAAGCCTTCTCTCTCTACCTTTTTACTTCCTCCAATGTATCTGAAGCATCCCGAGTACCGAAATTCCACATGGCCAAAAGCGATCGTCACACCACCCATCTTAGATCGAAACCGAGCTGACTCGGGTTTCGGATACTTTCCCCCATCGTCCGCAGCCTATCCCGGCCGGCGATCGGCGCTGAAAGAGGATCAACACCCTAGGTGTTGGGGATGTTTCTAAAACTGCTTCTGTCAGAAAGCTTTGGCAGCTTCCAAATCGTAAGCGCGCGCGCGCGCCATCCGCACTACCTCTCGAGCCGTTGGCCACACCATCAAAGCCCACGGGCTGACACGCGCCAGCCTCTCTCACATACACTCACACACAGAGGAAGGGTGGGAGGAAGACCTTGTCCCTGTACCTCACCCGATTTGCGTTGTCCTTCCTCTGCCGGACTATGCGCAGCGCTACATATCTCACGTACCTCGTACATCTCTCTCTGTCTTCCTGTCTCCCTCTTGGCAACTTTCCCTGACCTTGCTCTCCCGTACGATTGCCCCCAGGAACCTAATCCACTGTAGCGTGTACGCATGCTTAATACGGCAAAACTCTGCCAAGAAGTTTCCCATCATCCTAGCCCATCCTACCACCCATTTCATCAGGTCAGCAACTAAGTTGTAGGATGCCCGTGTTCCATCGAAACACAATATTTGCAAAACGTTGTTTCCTTCTCTCTCTCTGCAGACACATGCGCCTACAGGACGTCGCTCGCTCACCAGCAAGAATTCCAGTTCAGCACACTTCCTTCCCACCCATTCCCGCTTCTGCAAGTTAGATGGACGAAACCGTCATACCCACGCTTCGCCCCCGCGCGGACGTTTTCCCATCCAGTTTCAAGACTACTAGGTGACAGATTCGGACCGAAGTTCTGGCTTGAAGACCAATCATCGTCAGCATGTTATTAGTGATGCCAGTGCAGCGCCAACGCGTCAACCGAGGATCCGAATCTCGGGATGCCCAGAAAGAAACTCGGCTGCCTGGCACACCTTTCAGACCGGCTGCTGCCTGCCAAATTTCTAGACTGGTCTGCAAAGAAGCCCCTTAGCGGTCATTGCTCTTCGATTATCCTTCCATGTGGCGTGGCGTGGCGGCGTCTCGCCGCGCTTGTCTCGCGTTTCCATCTACTCTGCTCCTCGTCCACTTGCCTCGCCCAAGGGCCGGGACACCCAGCCAAGCCCGACCCAAGGCCCAATGCTCACCCATCCACTCACCCATTCGGCTCCCCCCCTTCAACCCACCATTGTGCAGCATCTGCGCCAACTCTAGTGAAAACAGCTCAAACTGATCCATTGTTCGAGTTGGTCCCATCATTGCAGTACATTGCCTCAATCATGATGAAGTGCAGAGTTTCAAGACTTGCTGATTCGCTTCTCGGCTCACGGTCGACTTGATGTGCAGTTCCAGCTTCTGGGGCTTGACTAACTCAGCCTCTTACTGTCTTGACGTCGTCCCGCCTCAACTGCTGCGCCGTCTCATGGGAAGTCAGAGCTGATGATTGCGTTCGTGAACCGATTACCGTTCAACGGATCACAAGCATTTTGTTTCAAGGGTTCGAATTCATTAAAATGCCCCCCCTTGGCCGGGTCAATCTCATCAACACTTCCTTCTCCACACCGCTCTAGATCATCACAGCCTTCACCGTCACAGCCATCTACCAGACAACTCTACAAATACGCCCGCGCCCACTCTCCGGTATCTCCTTCTTGACACCCGGCCGTGTCATTATTCGCCGTATTCTACCCGCTCCCGCACATCACACACTAGATCCTTACCGATCATCACCATGCTGCGCTTTTTGTGCCTTCCCGGAGCCTACGGCAGCTCGGACGTGAGTACTCAGACGCGATGCCATCTTCGATATCTCACTAACGCACACTAGAAATTGCAAGTCCAACTTGGTTAGTTTTCGCATACGAGCCACTGCGGTTCTTCGCGGGTGGCTTGAATCCTGACAGTCTCGTACTTACATTCTTCCAGCCCCCATTCTGAAGGAGCTTACCGAAGACGGCACCGCGCAATTCCACTTCATTCAGGGCCCCTGCAAGGCTGTGCCGCCCCCTGGCTTTGAGGACTACTTCGGCGCCCCTCCTTACTACCGCTTCATCGAGCCTGATAGGGACGTCGAGAAGTCCCACAGCGATGACGTCCTCGCCCGTATCCGTGACTTCCCTCAGTGCGAGACTCCAGAGGACACGATGAGGGATCTTATGAGGGAAGGCATCGCCACGACGCACCGCAGCACTGACAGAGCCATCAAGTACCTTGCCGATATCGCGGCCAAGCGCGGCCCCTTTGACGGCATCATTGGCTACTCCGAGGGTGCCACCGTGGCGTCGACCTTTATGCTTTACGAGCAGCGTCGCTTCAAGCGCTCCGGCATCAAGCCTACGTTCAAGTACGGCATCTTCTTCGCCGGCTGGCCGCCCGTCGACCCCAAGACCCACGCCCTGGTCCTCTCGGACGAGACGGACGAGAGGATCGAGGCTCGGACCTTGCACATCAGTAAGTTGATCGCGTGTGACGTGTCGTCCTGCTTTACCGTGGGAATGCTGACGATTCTCCCCAGTCGGATCCTTGGATCCTTATGTCGATGGCTCCACGGCCCTGTACAACATGTGCGACGCTGACACTGCCTATCTCTTCGACCACGCCAAGGGCCACACGCTTCCCCGTGACAAGGGTACCATCAAGGAGCTTGGAGACATCATCCGCCAGACCAAAGCCGAGATGCAAGAGGAGGGGATCCTGTCATCGTCGTAGAAGGTTTAGAGGGGCAAAGGTCCTGAGCAGGGATGGATCTCTGGATGGACTAGCGTTGCATCGGTTGTCATTTTGGGATTTGTGCCATTTTAAGAACAAGGTGGGAGGTACAACAAGGAACTGGCTTCCTCCCGTGTTAGCATTAGAGAGATAGATGGGATCGGGTGTCGGGTGCGCCGCATATCTGGGGGCCTGCTGGAGTCGGGTAATATTATTTGGCATTTTCACCAATTTGGTTCCACGGTCTTCTCGCTCCTTGCGAGTGAAGCTCCAAAAGCTCGCCCCACCGCCATCTTCTTTGGGCAAAATGTCAGGCATACGCACCTACACTGAGCGATTTTGACACGAGTTCCATCACGGGACCGACATGACGGCAAATCTGATTGACAGCAAGATTTACGCATAATTGCATGAAGCTGTGCAGATGTCTCTTTCGCATTGCATTTTTCCGCATTTTGTTTTTTGTTTTTCTTCCCCCCCTTGGTTTTTGTCATGATGGGAGGTGACCAGTCATATACGTCACCCCCCCGATTATGCTCAATACTTGTGGGACGATGGACTCATGGAAACACATCATGTTCGTGGATGCAGGCAGGCCTGGTTCATGTAAGAATAAAGTTTCTTTTCACCTGTGCCCTGGGGACTGTCCCTCCCCTGGTTCGTCCCCGTCCCAGGGCCGACCCTGACTGGTGATCTGGGAATCATCTAGGTGCACAAACAACTACCGCCGCAACCACCTCGCTTCCAAAACAAAAGATGAAATCTGCATGAGATTACCCTTCTAGGCATTGATCCTCGAGTCAACGGTAGCTACCGAAGAACGCCGAGAGGGTGGTCGAGAGTGGGAAGGACGGGGGGGGCCGCCGTACCTGTCTGTCCCATCCATCTCGTCAAACATGCGAGGCCTGGCTTTGCCACAGACAGACAGACAGACCAACAGCTCTGGGACGAGCCGGAACTACGTTCCGTCATCGTGCACGGGTTATCCCAGGTAGCCTCTTGACGTGCATATGTGGGTATTAGAAATGGGTGGTGCCGTATCTCTGTCTCCCAGCCTCTCTCACTGCCAGGCTGCTCCTGCTGCGCTTTGGTTTGAGCTTTGACACTCGAGGAAGGGAAGACCCGATTGTGGGAAGGAAGCGGCAAAACTGGAGCAGGCGAAAGACAACGGAATAGGCACTTGCACCTTGTTTCATCGTGGGATCACACAGGTAAAGGAAGGAAACGACGTCCGTTCCCTTTGCTTGTTTCCACCTGCCCAAGACCGATCTGAGCTCACTTTCACACACACACACACACACACACACACAAACACTGCCCAACTTTCGCCCCAATGTTCCCATGAGTATTCCTCTGGTCTTTGAACACAATCGAGTGTTTCCCATGTCCTTGAGTCGTCATTGTACACCTGGGGCTTCGCGCTGCTCAGCCAGCCAAGCCATCCACCCACCAATCCGAACTCGACCACCTCAAATCGCCGCCCGCCTCCAAAGAGATGGATCCATCCCATCTCTTCCTTCCAAGCAGATATCACACTCAGCGCCCAAACCAACTCTCTCGGCGCTGGGTCGGTTTGGATGTTTCGGACAGCGAGACGGGAGCGACACAGCCCTTGTATGGCCCGGGTGGCCCGTTAGCAACGTGCCTTTTCGTTACATCTGCCATCCTCCCCGACTTTCCCATTCCAAACCCTTGTCACGTTCTCCCCCCTTTCCCCCTTCCTTTCTTCCTGATCGAGTTGTGTCGGATTCTGTCGAGTCGCTGAGTTTGCAAACCGCACTCTTTTCCCCCCGTCCTCGTCGCCCCTGGTTCCCTGGTTCCTAGGAGCCGTCCGTTGGTTCGCGTTTTCTTCCTTTTGCGACAACAACCGCCCGCGGGACGACAAAAAGAACGCTGCTTTGCCTTTCCCTCCCTTTCTCCCTCTCTCTCTTCGAGAATTTTGACAAATACTCTATGACGAGTTCAGAGCCCGATCGCGCATCGCATCAAGGACACGAGCTTTTTGTCAAAAGTATAGTGTAGTATACCTACTCAAACAAGTCCCATCCACCCCCCCAAACCGATCCCTGGCCACAACCCCGCACATGGCCCGGGCATCCACTTAGTCTCCAGCACCAAACAGATCTACCGTCACACCCGGTATCCGATCGCGACCCCGGTCTAGGAGCCACACTCTACCCCACCATCCATCCCTCCCCCATCATGGCCACGCCGGCCGGCGCTGCTGGGGCGTCCGCTGCGGCCGATGCCGCAACCGGGACCGCCAACGCTCCCTCTGGGCCCGCTGCCGCTGGCGCTCCCACCGATCCTACACCGGAGCCTAAGACGGGCTTCTTCAAGCTCAACCCAAAGACTGTCGCGACCTTTCGCAACTTTTTTGTAAGCCCCGTCGTGCGCTCGGCACTGCCATGAGTGCAAATCCAATTGCGTTTCGCCCTGCTGACTCTGCATCGCAGAAAATCATCAGCTACGGTACCACACTTGACAAGCTCATCATCATAGGGTCATGTATTGCTGCCCTTGGCGCTGGTCTCACTATGCCGGTGATGAACATCGTCTTTGGTAAGTTCATCGTCTCCCGTCGATAACAGAGCGAGGGGCCTGACAGCTCGCAGGACAACTCGTCGGCACCTTCACAGGGTTCTTCATGCAAGGCACTTCCGAGACACAGGAGCAATTCACCCAAGCCGTCAACCAGGGCGTGTAAGTGCCTCATGTCATGTCTTCATGTGGTTCCCGGACTAATCCGCATACAGGTTGTACATGGTGTATCTGTTCATCGCCAAACTGGTACTCACTTATCTCTCAAATGTGAGTACTCGACCAAGCTGTGACCTCACTTGGGCTAACAACCCGTCCAGATGGGCTTTCGGATGACGAGTCTTCGCATCTCGGCAAAGATTCGCCTGATGTACCTGGACCGCCTCTTCGGCCTCCCCATCTCGACGCTCGACATGCTGCCGCCGGGCCAGACGGCCGCCATCATCACCATCACCGCCAGTATCCTACAGCTGGGAATCTCCGAGAAGATGGGCCAGTTTTTTTCCAGTCTCGCGGTCGTCATCGCCGGCTTCGCCATCGCTTTTGTCTACAACTGGCTCCTTACACTGACGACGAGCTCCGGCCTCGTCTTCATCGCCATCGTCTACACCATCACCACCCCGCCCATCATTAAGAAGCTCAAGGACGTCCAGGACATGGATATCGCCGCCGCATCCGTCGCCACCGAGGCCTTTAGCGCTATCCGCATGCTGGCCGCGTGCGGCGCCGAGTTCAAGATGATTGCCAAGTATGGGATCCTGGCCGATCAGTCGAGGAAGAAGGGAGCCGGCATGGCCTGGCTGGTGGCGATCCAACAGGGTCTCAGTAAGTCCCTAGCGTGACTACGTTGATAAAGTTGATCCTGGCTGACGCGACGACAGTCTTCTTCGCCATATACGCGTAAGCATACGATTCTTTGATGCAGGAGTCAACACGGGAGCGATCTGAGCTGACAATTTTAGAACATTTGCCCTGTCGTTCTGGTATGCCTTCAAAATGTACAACATGATGGCGCTGACAACCCCGACATCCTTGATCGTGTAAGTGTCCTTCATCCTCGAGGATCGGCTGTGCAGTTCCTGACCCGATGTTTAGCGTTCTCTTGTGCATCATGATGATGGCGTCTTCCCTGGGCCAGATCACGGCGCCCCTACAAGCCGCATCCCAGGCGGCCGATGCCAACGCCATCTTCCACACCATCATCGACGCCCCGCAGCAGGTATACGGAACGCTCAAGGGACCTGAGGTCTCCGCAGCAGAGGACATCACCTTCCAGGCCGTCAACTTCGTGTACCCCAAGCGCCCGGACGTCAAGATCCTCGATAACCTCTTCATCACCTTCCCCGCCGGTAAGGTTACTGCTATTGTGGGTCCTTCAGGCTCCGGCAAGAGCACTATCGTCGGCATTCTGGAGAGGTGGTACGAGTTCAACGGCAACATGGAGACGAATCAGCTGGTGAGTCATCACACCTATGCCCCCCGTCCACTATTGATTTGGGACCTAACGCGCATGTTCCAGGTCTTATTCCTCAGAAATGGCATTATTAAAGTAGGAGATCGGCTTCTGAGCGATATTGACCCCAAGTGGTGGCGCAGCCAGATCGGCTTAGTCCAGCAGGACAACGCCCTCTTCAACACTACGATTTACCAAAACGTGGAATACGGCCTCATCGGTACCGAGTGGGAGTTCCAGTCCCAAGCGGTCAAGGCCCGGTTGATCGAAACCGCGTGCAAGGATGCGTTTGCCGACGAGTTCATCTCCCGTCTGCCCGAGGTATCTCATAAACGACAGCGCTTTTTATTGGTTGATTGCTAACGTGCCGCAGGGCTACCAAACGGAAGTAGGCGACGCCGGTATCAAGCTCTCCGGAGGTCAACGTCAGCGCCTGGCCATCGCCCGCGCCATCGTTAAGCAACCCAAAATCCTGATCTTGGACGAGGCGACCTCGGCCATCGATGTCCGCAGCGAGCAGATCGTCCAGGCCGCCCTTGACAGGGCCTGCAAGGGCCGGACCACCATCATCATTGCCCACCGCCTCGGCACCATCCGCAAGGCCGACAATATCGTCCTCCTCCGCAAGGGCCAGGTCGTACAGCAGGGCACGCACGAGGACCTCATGACTCAGGTTGACGGCCCTTATCACCTCCTGGCCACGGCACAGAAGCTCGACATGGGTGCCGACGACGAGGAGGACGTCCTCTTCGGCGACCTAAGCTGGCGGCGGCCCGAGCCCGAGGCGCTGTACAGCAGAGGGTCGCTCCTGGCTGGCAGCAGTACCGGCGACCTTACCGAGAAGCGGGCCAGCAGCGATGGTACGTCCGCGGGGATGCTACGGCACTTCCACGAGATCGACGCCTCCGACGATGAGTACGAGGGCGTCGAGGCCGGCACGCTGCGGGTCATCAAGGAGCCTAGGAGTTGCCTCGGGCGGTGGAAGGCCCTGCACTTTTTTGGTAGCTTCGGCCAGCTCCTCGGCGAGCAGAAGAAGCGGTGGAAAACGTACATTGTCATTGCCCTCGCCGCACTTGGCGCCGGAGGTAAGTCTAGTATTTTGTCCGCTGTTATCACGGCCGTTCCGAGGTGATCTAACAAGAATCACAGCGAGCACCCCCGTTCAGGCCTATTTGTTTGCTGTCTTGGTCTCTCTCTTCTCCTACTGGGGAAGCTTCCTGCAAGTAATTGCCAATCATTGGTGCGAGATGTTCATGTATCTTGCCACGGGAGTTGGTGTGAGCCATTTCTTTCTTGGCTGGGCCACGACCACCATCGGCTTCGTGAGTCTCTCCCTTCTCATTTTTAACTCGGAAACCGGCTAAAACCGTCCCAGGGCATTGTTCGCGTATACCGAAAGGAGTGTTTCAGCAACATCGTGTACAAGCCATCCGCCTTCTTCGACGGCGAGGGCAACTCGGCCGGCTCCCTGACGGCCCGCCTGGCCACTGACCCCACGATGCTACAGCAGCTACTCGGCACCAACATGGCATTCGTGCTCATCTCGCTCTTCAACGTCATCGGGTGCATAGCCGTCGGCCTCGTCTTTGGCTGGAAGCTGACGCTCGTGGCGCTCGGCACGTCGATGCCTATCATCGTAGCCGCCATGTTCTACCGCGTGAGGCACGAGACGAGCTTCGAGGAGGCCAACAACGCCGTCTTTGCCGAGAGCGCAAAGTTCGCGTCCGAGAGCATCAGCGCCATTCGTACCGTCTCCAGCCTGACAATGGAGGACGGCATCTGCCAGCGGTACGACACCCTGCTCAATGCTCACATCAAGGACGCCTTCCGCAAGTCGCGCTTCTCGGTCATGATCTTCTCGTTCAGCGACAGCATCTCCCTACTTTGCATGGCATTCGTCCTTTGGTAAGTCTAATCTCGAGGGATGTGGTACGGCACGGCGCAGCTAAGCAGTCAACAGGTATGGTGGCAAGCTACTCTCAAGCCACGAATACACGCCCTTCCAGTACAGTAAGTGAGATCAAACGCGACACAATGATGGAAAGCTAACCCCACATAGTGGTCGTCTACATTGCCGTTGTTCAGGGCGGTATGAGCGCTGGCCAATGGCTCAGCTTCGGTCCCAGTAAGTCTAGTTGAAGCTGACGGATTGCGAATCTCGCTAATGGCCTCTAGACATCGCCAAGGCAAAGACTGCCGCCGACCGTATCTTGGCTCTAAGAGAGGATGAAGAGGAGGCCCAATTCTCAAAGGGTGTCAGCGACATGATCCCCTACGAGGTCCACTACGAGAAGGGCGTCGAGATCGAGTTCAAGGATGTCTGGTTCAGTTACCCGACCAGGACGCTCCCCGTCCTCAAAGGCTTGGACATCAAGATCGAGCGAGGCCAGTTCGCCGCCATTGTCGGACCCTCAGGCTCAGGGAAGACGACCGTTATATCCCTCCTCGAGCGCTTCTACCACCTCCAGGCCGGCGGAGAGATCCTTTATAACGGCCACGACATCAAGACGCTCGATCTCGGCCACTACCGCAAGAACATCTCGCTCGTCTCCCAGGAGCCCAACCTATTCACCGGCACGATCCGCGAGAACATCCTGCTGGGCATGGAAGACGAGGCCTCCGTCTCGGATGAGGCCGTCCACGCCGCTGCCCGTGACGCCGGCATTCACGACTTTATCGCCTCCCTGCCCGAAGGCTACAACACACAGGTCGGCAATGCTGGCGTCACACTCTCGGGCGGCCAGAAGCAGCGTGTGTCCATTGCGCGCGCCCTCATACGCCGCCCCTCACTACTCCTGCTCGACGAGGCCACGAGTGCCCTCGACAGTGAGACCGAGCGCGGCGTCCAGGCAGTCTTCGACGCCACCAAGGGCAGCCGGACGATGATCATGGTCGCCCACCGCCTGGCGACGGTGCAGAACGCCGACATCATCTTCGTCATGGCCGACGGCAAGGTCGTGGAGAGGGGCGACCACGCGACTCTGATTGCCGAGAGGGGAGTCTACTTCCAAATGGTAAGCTTTTCATCGCCCCCCCCCCCCCCCCCCCCCTTTTTTTTTTTTTTTCCCCAGTGCTATACCTCCTTCCGTTTGATGCAGTAGCTTACCGCCTAAAAGTGTCAATCGCAAGCGTTGGACAAGTAATAAAGTGGTTGGTTGCGGCTAGATGATCGACGACGTCGTCGACGCGTGCTGAAAGATTGTGCAACAACTACATACCAAACGGTGCCTGCGTTCTCACTGCATTCCTTTCCTTTTTCTTTTCCCTCTCCTTTTATTTTTCTTTTATTTCTTCAATCCCCATCATCGCCAGTCACATCTTGGCATGTTATCTCGACTCATTTAGAATAGCTGTTGATACTTGTCATGAAAAACAAACTGAATGACCATGTTCGAACGAAGTGAATCTTGCGACATGAAGCTAAATATGTTGATGACGTGTGAAGTTGATTGGACCATTGGTATTTGATTGAAAGTCTTGATGCTCAACAGGCGGGTCAATAACCTCGTTCTCTCGTTTTCTTGCACTTTTCTTCGTTTTCTATTCACTAGAAACCCCGCGCTCCACGTCTGGGCTGCCGTCGCATCCGCCCTCGAAGAGGATGCAAGCATTGAACGGCCCTCCTCCCCCAAGCTCGAGGACATCTCCCGGTCCGACAAAGGTGATGGCCTGTAATCCCGGCGAAGCCAAGCGTAGAGACGGCACGGCGAAAGTTGCTGGTGGAGACGTTGGCACTCACACGTTGCGCCAACGATTCCGAGCCGGTTTGCTCTGGGCTGTCCTGTCAGCGACCAGCGGGACTGCCTTCGGCCAGGTCATTGCCCGGCGGGGTGTCCGAAAAGCGTCAGACCTCGCAACGATGCCGTGCCCCCCTTCGCTCGTGGTCCGAGGGTCTGTGTCTTGGGCAGTTTACTTGGTTCATCCGAGGCGCGCGCGTGAAACCCTCGTGGAACTGGGTCGCCGAGTTTCGAACTGGGAGGGCACGGTGAGGAACTAGCATCTCCCCGACTTAGAGGCCTGAACACGCCTCCTGCCCTGTTTGGCGTTCTGTCCGACGAAGAGGGTATGAGAAGGTAGATGCTGACGACGTTAGCTTCAGCGGGTCATGCCCATCGTGCCCACGCCCACGCCAGATGACGCGGACCGAGTATTCCCGTCGCCCAGGACGGCTTGGCTTCTTGGGTGAGGTCAGTGCAACGATGGAATGATGTTCGTCTGTGTTACTATTGGACAAGCGGGTGCAATTCTGTCATTCCTCAGCGATAACGGACTAAAAGGTTGATATCACATTGGGGTTTTCATGCGAACTTGGACGGGATCCATGGATTGACATTCTTCTGATTCCGTACAGAGGTGAGATTGCAGTTTTCCATAAGCCATGGCATCGCTAATTACGAAAGGCCAAGTTTTGTCACCGCGGGCATGGGGACGTCAGCATCAAGATCGCGAAGAGATCCTATCTAGGTCAAACAGGTCAAATATAAGGAGATGTTTGGCACGGTTGTGACATTCTACTTGCAAAGGAAAACCAAATCAGTGTTGTTCCCTATCGTCTCTGAACAGCCATTCCGGTCGCACGCTTCTTACATTCACAGATCTGGATGCCGCCGAAAATGAGGTCGTCCACCTAGTTGAGGGATCTGCTCTGCCACCAAAACTCGAGTACGTGGCTCTGAGTCATTGTTGGTGTAAACTATAGATCAAAACAAGCTGCTTTCATCTACAGAAATCGAATCACACGAGGGTATTCCAACCTCGCAACTCCCTAGGACCTTTCAAGAAGCCCTTCACCGTCAGCCGGTGGCTGGCGGGTACAACCACATCTGGATAGATTCGCTTCGCATCATGCAGGCCCCAGTGGGAAGACTGGAGAACCGAATCACAGATAGTTAAGTCTGTGTGTTCGAACGCCGCTAAAACTATTGTTGCTGCATACGCCAAAAAGACGCCAGCCAAGGGGCTTCTTGTGGAGAGGGATACTCAACTGCCATTGTTCCTTGCAATTGGGGCGGTTGTTTTCGTTTCCAGAGTACCACTGCGTCGTCGATATCAGACGCGGTAGATTCGATGTGGACTTTTCTGACCTGGCCAAGTGTGCGTCGACGGTGCGAGAGAGGGCGTTATCACCGAGACAGCTGTTACTGGATCGTGGTGCTTCCGTTTCCAGTGTACCCGCACCGATGGAAGCGTATGGGCTCTGCACAAACAAGGTGATGCTTACTGTTGCTCTCGGCTCAGCTGAATCCGCACCGCGTCAGAAAATGGTAAGCCAATGTTCATGGGACGAAGTCTGGGAGGATAACGAAGTGGCTCTGGACCGCCCCCACGGGAGTCGACAGAGGGGGCGTCCGGTCTGCCCGCTCTTTCTGCCCGAGCCGTTCCTCTCATCGTGACCTGACATCAGCCGGCCGTGGTTTACGGAAGCTTTTACCACGGGTTCCCTTTTGGTTTCTCGGGCCTCCCGGGAAGGGGGGGCTTGGCGCTGGGGCGGATGCCTTGGCCGGCCCTCGATTGCCTTGATTACCTCGTGTTTCTGTAGAGTTTGCCGATGGGTATTGGTCTGATCCCCCTCGACAGGCCGGAGCGACGGCGATAGTCGAGGAGCCCGGTCCCCTGTGCGTGTTGATGTCTATGGGCCTCGGTGGACGTCGGAGCGCGGGTGTTCGTGGCGTCACGGCCCATTCTCCTCCAGCCGATATCCCTTTTTTTGGTGCGACATCCTGAGGACTGCGGATGAGTCTGCCGAGTCCCATACTTCCCTCCTGCCAAGGATATGTTGGGTCAGCGGGAGTGAAGTTAGACGTCTCCGGCTTCCAGGTTGACATGTTCCATTCCGCCCCGTTGCGAGAACCTCTAACTCCGCTATAGCCAAGCCTCAGTGGGTTCTTTCTTCGGCTGATCCGGATCCCATGCCAACGCTATGGGATGCATGATTCAGGAGTGAGTCTTTTGTCCTTATGAGCTCCGCCGATTCGTCATCAGTATCATGGAAGCACGGAGTCTCATGCGGTACGAAGTTCCTTTTCAGCCGGGAAAACGTGGTGACGGCAGTGCTGACCGCCGTCCTAAGAACAATCTCATATATGTGAACACTAGACTGATGGGACTATGAGTAGCACGAGAGCAATTCAGGTTCAAAATGAACGCCGAATGATCGTTCTCGCAAGCAAGAAAGCAGTCATCATTATCTCCGAATCTAGCCTAAGTTCCGATCAGCTGCACTCACCTCGCCAGCCTTTGGCCTCGGTGATCCGAGTCGAAGCAGCAGAAATTATGTGTGCAAAGCCATACATCGACAGTCAGAGGGAGCATGTATGAGATCGTCACGGGAACGGAACACGGATGCCAAGTCGCCAAGCGTCCTCGCGCAGCCGGACACAATATTCGTCCCATCTTCGGTCGCCGATGGGATGGGATCGCGCCCGTCTTTTCACGACGCTGACAAAACTCCAAACATCCCCGTCAAAACGTGGGAGCGACCTTATCTTCGCCCCTCTCCATCACGCTCATCAGCTTCAGAGCACGCAGCGAAGTCATGGACGCCCGCGGCATGTGCCCTGGTCTGCAATCCCTTCCCCTCGGAGCTCCGGCGCTGCCCATGCTCGTGGAGGTGCTTGTACGCACCAGCTCGCCCGCGGTCATGGGCGACGAGCGTTCGTGGCTGGCGTACACTGCTGTGGAGATGCTGGGCGGTCTTGTGTTCAGGCGGCTCATCATCAAGCTCATGGCCGTTTGCGCATCAGCAGGGGCGTGGTTGAGCGGCGGAGGCTGAGAGCTGATGACGGGGACCGAAGCGGTAGAGTTGCGGCCCGACTGCGGCGCTGGGGAGAGCGATGAACCGCAGGACCTGTTGAGTTTGGATAGCAGCATCTCTGCAGTTGGTCTGCTGCGTTGCTGGGTCATGTTGAATGAATGGCCCAATCTGGTCGGCGAACGGCTTGAGCCGCGGCTCGACGGCGGCGTTGGGAGGACTCTATCGCCGTTGTAGGAGCTATGCTTGCCGGACCTCATAGAATGCTCCAGGTTCAAGCTCAGCATGTCGCCCGCTATCTCTGACGGCGCAGGCGGGCCACTATGCTGGGGCATCTTCATGGTGACGGCTCTTTGGATGTCCTCGAAGCTCATTGCCGAAGGCGGAATCTTGCTGAGCCTGCGGATCGCACGGTTGTTCCTCTCGACAAAATCGTTCATGGCCCTCAGCGCCCCTGCGTTCTCGCGACTCGCGACCACGCTGACGTCGCCAGTGCTGCGACCACGGACCTGGTGCACGGCGTTGAGGGTCAGCGGCTGCCGCGGAAGCCCGGGATGGCTCGAGGGTTCGACGTCCTGAGGGCCGGCCCTCAGGCTCGCCTGCACCTGCGCCATCACGCGATCAAAGTCAATGTTCTGGTTCGGGTTCGCGCGGGACATGTAATACGGCACCGGAGCCTGCTGCTCCAACGCGCTCGGGTTGAGCTCTGCCTTGGTGGCCAGCACGAAGAGGCTTCCGTCCCTGATGCGGCGGCGCACGAAGGCCCAGCGGGTCCGGGCCGGGTTCTTTTCGAGTTTGGGCTGGTGGACAGAGCACCGGGCCAGCTGGGTGTAGAAGACCTCCAGGTGCCGTGCCATACGTTCAAGCACCTGGAGAAGGAAGGCGGATAGGGCAGTGAGCCGGCAGTTCTCAACGTCAGGGTTGGGGGACTCCTGGATGGAGCGTGCGATGTCGTCCAAGGCGTCCATTCCGGTACAGGCTTCTTGACGGAGATTCTCCAGCAGGGCAATGTCGAGCTCCACGCTGCGAGCGGCGTAGGCGAACACTCCACGTTCTTGGAAACGTAGCGACGCGTCGGCGTCACACACGAGCTGTCCTATGAGGGCTATTTCTTTCGTACAAGCCACTGCATCTCTGCTCGTCTTCGCCCGGGCCACCGTTCCTAGCACGTCCGGCAGCTTGGTGTCTGCGGCCGGTCCGTTGGCGCTGGCGAGGCCGAAGGACAGCTTGAGGACGAGCTCCTGAAGCTTTGGGCCGAATAGCGCGGCAAAGCCGCTCTGCAGAAGCCGGCTTTGGTACCCGTAGAAGGTGCGGACGGCGATGATGTTCGGCAGGCTCTCGCGAATCCAGATGTTGTTGCTGCCGGAGGAATCATGAGACGAAGGCGTCTCGATGGATGCACCCATGATCTCGTACATCTCGAACTGATGAGCCACCAGCGTCTCGACCGTAGATCGGAGGTATGCTGACCAGAGGTCGTGCAGCGCCGAGATTTCAGCATCGCCATAATCGGGCTTGGGAGTCAAGTGTCCGACAAAGTATTTTGTCAACAGACTAGAAACCTCGGGGTTGTTCGTATGGGCGAGATTGTCAAAAGATTTGGAACAGTCAACGCCAGCATTGGACTTGATGATTAGCGTACCTCCGGGGTGCATAGAACAGAAGTCGGTGACATCGTAGGCGCTGCCGTGAACCCCGATCCACATGCGGGAGCCTGGGCGATGTCCGGTATGCAGCGCCAGCTCAGACATGGGTATCGTCGGCAAGTTGCATGGCAGTGGCTTTGGCGTCATGAAAACATCGAGCATGAATCGTCTTTCCGCAAACGCCTTGTTGATGATGACATCAACGCCCGCCTCTGTGGCTGCTCTGTAGGTGTAGACTGCCTTTCGAATTCCATTCATGACGGAATCAAAGACTGAGACGGAACCGCAGACATACAGGTAGCCGCCGAGCCCGCCCTGCTTCTTCGACATGACGAGATCGCAAATCGCCACACCCTGCTCGACGATCAAGGTGTCAATGTAGCGCGGTGGGATGTGCTTTTCGACGAGATGACGACCAGCGTACGCGAGCCCGCGGGAATCTCTTGAGAAAGCAACATGCACCTCCATGAAGTTGGCGTTGACGTACTGCCGCAGCTCTTCTTCAAAGCAGAACTTTTCGCGGGACTGGACACCGAGATACAGCAGATTCTTACCCCCAGATAGGCCGCTTTGCGCGAGGCGTGCTTGCCAGAAACTTCGAAACGGCGCGATGCCACTCCCGCCGGCGAAGAATGCGCAGGGCGCCATCGGGTCGAGAGGGAGTTGAAAAGCCGCTGGCCTCGACACACCGATGAGGATCTCGTCGTCTGACTCGATATTATCTTCCACCTCCACTGGCGGGTTAAGGAAGCCGCTAGAGACGCCTGCGCGCGAGATGTCCTCTTCCCCGGAAAAGGTCGAGCACAATTTGTACTCTGAACGCGACACGGCAAGGTCGACGGTCTCTGGCAGAAGCTCTTGGGTGTAGCTGGCGATGGAGTATGTGCGCGGGACTTCAAGAGAAACCAGCCCGGCCAGCCACGCCAGGTTGCCGAGGTTGAAAGCTCTGTCCCAGATCTGAGGCGGCGTATCGGTGACAGCAGCTTGCAGCAAGTCGCCCAAAGAGCCCCGGACAGGCCACTCATCTGTGCCGAGGACTTGCAAAACGGTGTTGGAGGAAGCAAGCAGCATGCCGTGGACCTTGAGCGCCATGTCCTTGGTGATGGGAGCTAGGTGACCCCGTCGCAAAATTTCACTGACAGTCAGCTTGACGGCCGCCGTTCGTCTGACGGATCCCAGATGCATTGCAAAACGAGCCCAGGTTCCGCCGGCTTCCACCGGGGTATTCATGTGTTGCTCCAAGCCGAGGGCGGCGATGACTCTGGCGCACTCACCCCAGCTGTTGAGGGGCATGACTGCCAAACGGTCACCAGGCGCGAAAGTTATACCGGTCTCGCTGATGTCGAGAGTCACCATCGCAATCGACCTTGTTGGGTCGGAATCCACATGGGACCTGCCGAGGACCCGGGTGACGTAACGGCATTCTTCGAACGTGCCTCTCATCTGATGGGGCTCCACGGCCAAGGCGCCTCGGTAGGGCTCCAGACGCTCCTTCATGGCCTCGGAAAACTGGCGATGGGTCTCCTCCCAAGGTCTTTCGCCGTCTGCCGCACCGGAAGCGCCGTTGGTCTCGGTCCGGCCAGTCTTCGCGGCCACCTCTAAGACTCCAAACACCTTGTACCTATGAACTCCCATAAACCCGCGCTCTCCGGTGTAAGCCTCGACGATGCCGTCGAGAACGCCCATAAGGCGCGGGTCGCCGGACTGCTGAACGAATTCGGGGATGCGGTAATGATATTCAACAGCCGCGATAAAGGCCCGCAAGTTAGAGGGGAGCCACGCCCGGAGGTGGACGCCCTCAGCACCGAGGAACGATGTGTATCTAAGCAGAGGTTAGGAGCAGATTTTAATGGACATCTGACAAAAGGAGGCGCGTCACAAGGGGGTTGGATGGGCGTAAACGACTTACTTCTTTCTGCCCAAGAACGCATCCATCACCAGGTAAGGTGGGAACTGCAAGCCCGAAGAGGCAGGGCATCGTTTCGAAAGAG